AATAATAATAAATCTTCACATAGTTAATGAGCATCGCTATAAATATGGGATTTCAAGGACCCGCGCTGTATACAGAATCCAAACAATGTAATGTTTACTAAAAATTTAATTGGCATTCCCGCGAGAGAAAGAGCTTTATGACGCATAGCGCAAAGCGAGCAAGACGAAAAGAGCGCACACAAATAAGAACAGGTAACGGATGAGCTAAGAAAATCAAGAATCTTGCAGAATAAGTGTAGGAGTGCAATGCCGTGCAATAGAATATTAAAATATGTAAATTTCTGTACGCAAACATGAAAGAATAATTTAATTTTACGARGTACATACGTACATATTGCACATGCAATATTTGTTGCACAAGCAATAGTTGGCAACACTGCCATTGTTATGAGCAAAGTATGTGCACTGTACGWACTAGTGATGCGATCAGCAGATCCATAGCAATTGCCTTTGATGCAAATTCTATAGGAATATAACAAACAGCTGTTTTGTTGTTGTTGTGGTTGGCGCTCGGCAAAGTGATTGAGTGGAATATGCGATGTTTGCCATTGTTAGTGAATTAATTTCTGTGGAAAAAAGTCAAAATGTGTGCCTTTTGTTGTTGTAGGTGTGTTTACCAAGTTTTTGTTGCCAATTTGGAGGCAAATTGTCRGTYGTTGTTGTTGTTGGTTTTCGCTACTGCCTTTTTATTTTTTGTTTAGCGCGCTCACAACAATGCTGATCTACAAGATCAATTGTAGCGATCTTGCTTATATGTGTTTGTATGTATTCAACATGTGTATGTGTGTGTGCRTGTATCAAAGTACCCCTACCCCTACATCATGCACACATACATTAGCATATGCACAGCGGTTTATTTGAAAAACGAACGGTGCTTTAACGGTGTGTGAGCTGCGCTGCTGCACGATAACAGCTCTGCCAGCGTCGCTGCCGACCGGCGCAGTCGACGGCAAACTATTGGCGGCACGCTACGAAGCAGTCAGAAAAGAAGAGCGCACCTAGCATGTGAACATTTGGCGGTGAGATGCCTCAGCTGCCTTCACGAGCTGCCAGTTGTTGTTATGATRTGTGCTGTGTTTGTTAGTTTTGTTGTAGTCAACTGCTAAAATGTGTGTTCATGCTCGCTGCTGGCGTTTTGTTACACTTGCTGTTGTTGTTCTTTATTTTGAATTTTTGTTTGAAGCTGTTTGTCGCTGTCGCTATGTTGTTGCTATTGTTTCGTTTCGCTCGTTTTGCCAGTTGCCGCTGCCGAARCTCAGCAACACTTCAATTATTTCCATTTCATTTATTTGCTGCTAATATGTGAGCGCACCGTTGTACAGCTGTTATTGCTCTGCTTATYGTTATAGCGCAATGTTTTTGTTATTGTTGCTTATTGTAGTTAGCTTCAACGGAGCTATGAAGATGAGTGAGCTTTGCCGCCAAGTCAAGTCAAGCCGAGTCATCAACAGTCACTACTAAAGCAACTAACATTTGTAGTGCTGTTGTTGTTTTTGTTTTGGTGCTTCTCCACAACATCTAATAGATATGGTTTGTAACAGCAAGTTGGCAACGCGCGCCCGCTTCAAGCTGCTTATTTATGTTTTTTTTTTTTTTTTGCAGCTTTTCCCCCCACATCTGCTATGGCTCAGCCGTTGACGCTCAGCTCATCTGCCGCCGCCGCCGCCGCTGCTGCCATCTCTGTGTCGGCTGCTGCGCTTCTCCTCAGCGCGCTGGTGCTGGGGCGCTTTGTCGGTCGTTTGTCGTTATAAATAGCGTTGCATCGTCGTGTGGAACCCTAATTCATAGCGATCGTGTGTACTAAAAAGTAGCAGTGCCGCTAAACAAAAGATTCAARTTGCGAACCCGGTATAGGAAAATTGCGAATAAACGTTGAAACTTGAAAAAGAATTAATTTGAGCAAATATTATATAAACTTTCGGTGTAATTTATCAGCTGTGGCAGCGTTGAAAAATATATTTTTAAAGACATTTGTAGCGTGTGACTAGTGAAAAATATACTTTGCCAAGTGTAGTGCTGAACTGACAACAAGCTTCTTAGCTTCAAACATACGGAAGGATAATACGCAAGGATATTATATTTTGCAAGCACAAAAGTATTTAAGTTTAACTGTGTTTTCTCAGTGTTTCAAGCAGTTTTGATACAGTAAAAATAATTTTATTTCCAAACTATCGGAAAAAATGATGTCGCTGAAATCGTTGCTGTTTATTGTGAGTACAAAAAATGTTTTATTTTTTATTGAAATGTATAACTTAAAGCTAAAGCTATGTGTAACTTAAAAGAATTATGGATTTTTTTGGTTTTTATTTGTGAAATACTTTTTTACTCCGAAAGAAAATGTATTATGTTGATAAAATATAAAAAACAGACCAAAAAAAATTATAGAAACTAAACTTGAAGAAAA